ATAAACTGTGTGCTAGCCAACTAGCTGCTCCATGTAGGCTTCCACTGGGTCTTGGTTCCTCCAATAACACTAGTTTGATGGCATGCACTGTTGGTGCTTCTCATGATATGTCAGTATTTTGCATTTATCCAAAAAGGCAGATGCCATACCCACCCTTAATTGAACTTCGAAGATGTCCATGACAGATGGGTCATTGACACGATTGTGCAGTGCATGAATCTCTTGTGTTTGCCAGCTGCTTTGCTGCTCTGCAGTCAAGGCTTCATCTAGCTTTATACATGCCTGCCTCACCAATGGTGCTGCTGCTTGAGCCACTTTGAGCTTCCATGATAGGCTATCCACTTAATCTTGGATGTCAGAGAGTGTGCAGCAAGTGGATCCCCAGACCAACCAATTTGAATCATCTTCATGAAGTTGGAATCATTCATCTGGAAATCCAGCAGTTCTTGGCAATGTGGTGAGGTCATCCTGCATGCAGATGCAGATGCCATGTTAAGGATGGACCACAACATTTCAATGATTTCTCCATCTACCCATCTGGCCCCCTTGATGAACAGTGGGGCATACTGTGCATAACATTCCTTCTTGTGCCCATGCACATGCCATATGCCAATTCCAGGGATAATTTGAAGTGATGACAGGACATCAATCATCTCACTTTGACCCACATGCTTCTGCAGATTCATCATGTAGGAGCAGTTAATGTTGTAGAAGCAAACCACTTGTTTGATCCCTTCCATATTGTACCCCAACACATTTGCCAAAGAGTAGTCCACATTCAACCATCCACAGCACCATCAGCAGGTGTCAAAATCAATGATTCAACCTCGTACCTTTCTCCTTTTTGGAAGTCAACAACACAATGCAGATAAAAGCATCCATGCCATGCACATGCAGTCACCCCAATTCTGGTCACATGAAGCTTTCCCCAGGCTGCATTTGCCTGACTGATAGCTCTGTGGTTGTTGCAGGTGGATTTCTGTGCCTGAGCTCAGATCATGTTTTGCATGGGTTGAATGAATTCATACCTCTGCAATATGTGGAGTGGCCTTCAAATAGTCCACATAGTGTGGATTGGTCACCATATAACCTAGTCCATCCATCACTGCATGAAATTTTTGCTGGATTAAGTTGGACAAGCTAAGTACTCAGAATCTTGATTTTAGTTACAGTCTACACTCAGGAACTCCAGAATTTTCAGAATTATTTTTCAAGCTGCAAATGAAGACCAAATGACTAAGTCAAAGATCCCTTGAGTCAAGAAACAAATCTGAAGGCAAATTAATAGTTGATTTTCTGTGAAGAAGCCATGAGAATGCATTGAGAGAACTCAAGGGAATGCCATCAAGGCATTCAAGGGACACACCAGGGTTCTCAGGACAAGCATCTGACCTTTTTTGGTATTTCAAAGTGGTCCCAAGTCTTTGCAAGTGTGAGATTTGCTTTGATGACCAAGAATGGGCAAAATGGGCTTGCTGGTATGCAGGTGGTGAAGTCTCTGACTCATGGTATGATTTTGTTGAGGATCAGTTGAATTGGCCCAAATTTGTGGTGGCCATTGTGCATTTGTATCCTGGGTCCCAGAAACTAGATCAACAGTATTCAAAGAGTGACCTTTACAGCCTCATTTATTGCAAGAAGGATTGGGATCAAGGAGCCATCAAGGCTCATCACACAAAGGAAGCCACTGGAAGAAGTTTTGCAAGTTGAAATGTTGAAGCATACAGTGAGGGTGGATGACCTCACACCTGAAATATTCTGCACCTGTATGGCACCAACAATAGATGTTTTATTCGAGAGTTTGTCAAGAGAATTGATGCATGCACTTGGTATTTGGACTTGTAGAGAAAGTCCAGTGATGTTGACTAAGCAAAGTCATGTGATTTCTCTGTGCATCAAGGCCACATGCATGCAAGTAACACTGCATACTGACAACTCTAGTGTTATAGACCAACTACTCAAGATTGCTACAATCACAGGATATGAAGAATGGGGCAAACAAGGTACCAGATGGAAGCTACCATGACTACAAGTGACAGCAACAGCAACGAGAGTGACAATGGAAGTGAGTAGCAAGATAGCAATGATGACAACAATGACTAGACTTAGCACAGATTGATGGCCAAGCGAGATCAGATGCACCACTCGATGGAAACAGGGTGCAGAGAGCACAGATGAGAGCCCAAAAGCTCACAGGTTTGTTTTGATTTCAAAATGTTTTACTTACAGCTATTCTACACAGGGGAACGCTGGCACATGCATCAAAGAGTGACCAACATCAAGATGATCAAGATACAAGAAATGATGAGGATGGCACTGAAGGCAGAGTGATGGCCACATGAAGCTAGAATGACCATTCTATGGAGATGACATGTGACAAGTATGAATATTGAGCTAAATGGCTCAATGGTTTGCTTCAATTTTAGTACATTTTGCTTACATCCTTGTTATTCTAGTGAAGCCAGATATATACAATGAAGTACAACTGACATCCTCATGATTGCAGCTCAAGAGTCTACAATGAACTACAAATGAAGATCATGTGGAGGTTCAACAAGAGCAATGGCAACAACAAAAGTGTGACTGATGATGATGACAGTGTTTTACACAGACCAAAGGACATGTGATGTGAGAACAGCTGTTTGATGAAAACAAGGTGTGACAAGTGCAGATGTTGGGCTTGATGGCTCAAGGGTCTGTTTTGATTCTGGAACACATTGCTTACATCTACTTTATACTAGGGAAAGTGACTGTATATGATGACATGTGAGCAACATCCAGGTGGCCACAGTGCAAAGAATGATGACAATGATGATGCTCAACACAGACTGAAGGCCACATGACACAGGAATAGCCGTCCCATGGACATGGAGTGCAATGGGGGCTACCAAGCTCAAATGCTTGAGTGAGTATCTACAACAAATGGAGATTGCGATGTGAGGATCTACAATGAACTACAAATGAAGATCATGCAGAGGTTTGACAAGGACAATGGCAGCAATGATGACACTTGACACAGACTGAAGACTGCATGACACTGGAACAGCTGTTCAATGGACACAAGGCACAACAAGTGCAGATACTGAGCACTACAGCTCAAGGTTTCATTTTGATTTCAGAGCATTTCACTTACAGCATTGCTACCCTAGGGAAAATGGGTATAGATGATGAAGCATGATGTCATAGTTGTGTCTTGACTCCAGCTGGACTCAGCCTCACATTCACTCAGTCTGGCCTTGGCCTTGCCAATCCCTTATCCCCAGATGGTCTAGTGTGGTACACACTGCTTTGCAGTGTGGGTTACTTTGGTTGAATTCTGCCTGGTCTGGTCCCCAGTTTGCCCTGTCCTGGTCTCCATTACCTTAGTCATACCTTACTAATACTTGTCTTACCAATCATCTTAGCAATCTTTGTGAGACCAGCATTACTGGTCTCCATACTATAGCTACTTCTAGTATATAAGCTCTTAGATACTTGGCCTGTACTCCCCAGTCTGAAATCAAATAAGTTCTATCTGTAATTCTTGGCCTCAGACTCAGACTGAAACCCATGCAAGGGAATAGTGCTGTAATCTCAGTTGCTAAGTCCAATCAGTCTACCACCTGTATCTCTGCCCCTTCCCCCTGATCCTGACCCCTCAGCCTTGTGCCCACTTCAGTCTCTTGTCTGGCCTCAACCTGGACATCATGAACTTGACACACAACCTACATCCTAGCTATTGCTATTCAAGAATCTATGAAGAACTATGAACTGAGGTTGTGCAGGAGTACAGAAAGACAAGTGTGACAAATGTGGTTCAATCCACAACAGTGAATTTCAAAGTCATGGCAAGATGTGTGACATGCAAAGAGTATAGAGGCCACACCAAGTGGGCTCCAAGGCCCAAGTCTTAGTTTTTCCTTTAAGCCATTTTACTTACAGCTATGCTGTTTTAGGGAGTATGACTTTTTACAAGGTATCAACGAAGCTACAACAAACCATGAATGAAGTATGGCGAAGCAACTGTGAAGACTACAGGTCATTCTACAACAACAATCACTGAGGATATGAGATTTGACAGACATGGATGCTGAGCGTGATGGCCCAAGTCTTTATTTTAGTTGTGTAACTTTTTACTCATAGTTAGGTTATCTTAGAGTAGACAATGAGATCCATTGAGACCATGCTGAATGGGCTTGAAGGCCCAAGTTCTATGTTTTTCTTTCAAGTGTTTCACTTACAGCTACATTGTTTTAGGGAACACAAGTTTTTGCAGAGTGTCAACAAACCTTTGAGCAACAGCAGGCCTACAGTATGAAGGCCTGGAACAAGATGCCCAACCAAATCTATAGGTTGACATATCATTGAACAACTAGCAAGGGGAGACACCATCCTGTTAAGTTTGCGACTGGGTTGGGGGTCAAAGGCTGAAGGCCAAGTGCTGGGTGCAACAACCCTTGGTTTTAGTTCATGCACTAGACCCTTGCACAAGCTGGGTTGAAGTCAAAGAGAGCTGAGGGGGGTCAGGAGTGAAAGCTGAGGGTTGTCTTGGGCTTAAGCTAGGAGCTGAGGGGTGAACTAGATTGATATTCAGACTGAGGAGCTAAATACAATCTATGTAAAGTATATATACCGAAGACCAGCAACCCAAAGGCTGGGGTTACCAGTGAGGGACTAAATAGTGGTGCAGAGAACTAACTAAAAGTCATGTGAGAAGGCAGGGGTCAGAGAGCCAAAGACAGACACTGCCTTGGCATAAGCAAGGGCAGTACAAAAGCTAACTAGAAAAGTATAGTGAGGAACAGAGTTTGTTTCAGCATTCAGCATTGACTCAGCATTCTGAACATAAGACTGAACTGTGGGTTTCTCAGTATATGACAGTATCCCTCCCTTAGGGTCAAGCTCTTGAGACCCACCCTAAGGTACATGAAGTCAGCAGTTGCCATGCCAATAGAACACATGTTCCCTAGGGTTAAAAGGCACATTTACTGCAAAGACTGTTTTCTCCTGACTCCTTCATCATGTCTACTCATCAAGCTTCCCCACACATACCCAACACCCCATCCAGCTTCTGGAAGGCCACCACACCCAAACTCCAGATCACCAGTGATGACAAGGAGGCTGACATCTGGGCCAAGATGGCTGATCACAAGTGGCGCAAGGTGTTGAGGGAAGAGGCTGCCCAGCTGGAGGCAGAGAGGCTCAAGAGGTAGTGACTAGAGGCAGAGCAGCGCAAGAGGGAGTGGGTGGAAGCCAAAAAGTGGGAACAGGAGTGGTTAGAGGCCAAAAGGCAAGAGCAGGGGTGTCTGGAGGCCAAGTGCCAAGAACGAGAGGCCCAGGCACAGCCAAAAACAGGGGAGCTGAAGGGCAAGGCACAGGAGAAGGGCACTGGTTCCTGTGAACAGTGTGAAAAGGGTCAGGTGCCATGCACCTTTAGTTGCATGCAACAGAGCAAGTGCAAGAAGAGGACATGTGACTGGTGCACTGAGATGAAGGTCAGGTGTGAGCTGCCTGAGGGGGTAGAGCCCAAGGTTGAGGAGGTTGGGGCAAGATCTGGGAAGATGCAAGTGCTGGAGGATGTGACATCACCAAGGGCCAGGGAGAAGAAGAAGGTCACTTGCACCAGGTCTGGTGTGCCCAGTGAGTTGGAGGCCAGCCCCTTGGGAGTAGGTGTGGCTGCTGCCACTCCCACTGACCCTTTGGTTGCAGCAGTTGCCAAAGGGTTTGAGCTGATCACAGTGGCTATGGACCATCAGATCTTGGAGATGCGAGCTGGGAGGGAGACCCAATGCCAATTCAACAGTCAGCTGGGGGATTTACTGGGTGAGTTCAAATTCATCCTTCACTTGACCTCCCTGGCATCCAAGTGCAGCAAGGAGTTGCACTTGGATGTGGTGGACCTGGAGCTTGAGAGTCTCTGGTCAGACTGAGAGGGAGTGGGGGTGGAGTTGGACAAGGGGGTCATGCACTGGCCTGAGGACATGCACATGAAGGGCTGGTGGTCTGATTCAGAGAGCAGGGAGGAAAGGGAGCTCCAGGTGAGTGATGGGGAGGTGTTCAAGGGGGACTCCAAGTGAAAGCCAGTTAGGACTGAATGCCAATGTATGTACATAGTATCAGTGTATTGAACCATTCTTGGTATAGTAAGGGAAAAACAAGAGAGAGAGAGAGAAGAGAAAGGTATGTTTTCACTAGTGACTGGACTGGGTTTACTGGGGTAGGTGGCATGAAATGCAGCAAGCAGGTCCTCAGCATTGCCCAGCTCAGTGGCTGGCAGCCAGGATTTTTCCTCATTGGTGCCCTCATAGCCAGCCCAGTGCACCAAGTACTGCAGCTTGCACTTTTGTTGCTGGTCTACCTTTGAGTCAAGGACCTCAGTGATCTCATATTCTGGTTCACCATCCACCTCGACTGGTGGTGGTGGTGGCTGTGTTTGGTTTGGGATGACATTGGGGTGTGCCAGTTCTAGTTGTGACACATGGAACACTGGGTGTACTGCACACATGGAGTCTGGGAGAGGAAGGGTGAACAAGTGGGTGCCAGGCTGGGCTATTACCAAGTAGGGGCCTAGGTTCTTGTCTGTGAGTTTCTGTGATGGCCTTGTGTTCTGGAAGTACTTGGCTTTGACATAGACCTGGTTGCTGAGGTTGATCTTGGGTGCCAGTAGCCTTTTTGCATCTGCCAGACCTTGGTATCAAGCCTGGGCTAGTGCCATCTCTTCCCATAGGAACTGGTGTAGTTCATCTAGGTCCATGGCATAGTCCCTAGCCTGTGCCAAGGATAAGTCCCTTTCAGGGAAGACTGAGAGGTTAGGGTGGTAGCCCTTGTTGGCAAAGAAAGGGGAAACACTGGTGGTAGCACTCAGGGCATTGTTGTAGGCAAACTTGGCCAACAGAAGTAACTTGGTCCAGTTGTCCTGTTGGTAGTTGCAATACACCCAGAGGTACTGTTCCAAGGTCTGGTTTGCTCATTTGGTCTGGCCATCTCCTTCTGGGTGGTATCTGGAAGTGAAGTGTAGGCACATATCCAGTGCTTTACCCAAGGACCAGAAGAAGTGCAAGACAAATTCAGAGCCTCAGTTGGAGGTTACATGTGCTGGAACACTGTGCTTCAAGAAGCCATGGAGTAGGAAGAGTCTAGCAAGTTCAGGGGAGGTGATGGTGTTGTAGGTGGGTATGAATATAGCCTGCTTGGATAGTTGGTCCAAAACCACCAGGATAGTGGTGTGACCACTGGATGCCAGTAGGTGCTCAATGAAATCCATAGAGATGGAATTCCATGGCTTTTCTGGTATTGGCAGTTGTTTCAGGGTGCCATATGGTCAGTGTCTGGGTGTTTTAACTCTCACACATGTAGTGCAGGACCTCACATATTCTTTGATGAAGGTGTGAATGCTGGGCCAGGTGTATTCTCACCTGATCAGTTCCAACATCTGATTCTGGCCGAAGTGTCCTGACAGTGGGTGATCATGCTTGTACCAAAGGACCTTGAGCCTAAGGTCATTGGCATCTGGTACATAGATCTGGTTGTCAAGGCATAGCAGACCAGTGTTGTCGACTGACCAATGAGGATTGGAGGTGTCTGTGAGTTGGTGTTGGGATAGTGGGTCTGATGGTAGTACAGTGAGTATTTCATTGTGGAGTTGTTCTATGTCCATTAGAAGGCTGGCACATAGTATGGGGTATTCCAAGCATGTGGCACAGAGAGCTGAGACCAGCTGTTCCTGCATGAACACCAGTTGGAGGTTGTGGGGGTTTGCCTGGGAATAACCCCTATCCCCCTCTTTGGGGTAGATGTCCCATTGTCTAGTGAGAGTGTCAGGCTTAGCACCAAGCTTACCCAGGTGGAAATGAATGATGAGATTGAACTGTGACAGGTACTCAGACCAATGGGCTTGCCAGTATGTGAGTACCCTAGAGGTTGAGAAATATAATCTTGACCCCATTGAAGTGTGCTTTCTTTCCATGGGAAATGACTGCTCCTTTGTTACCTTTATCCACTTGGTAGAAGCTTGCACAACATATGTTTGGAAGTCAGGGTTGGCTAAGTCTGCAACAGGTTCATCAACATCTTGGACAGTGTTTAAAAAGGCAGAAGGCAGAATCTCCAACTGCATGTCAATGTTGGGGTGAGCAACACAGAAAAGGTTAGCAGTGCCTTGCATGGCTGTATTGTGCAGAGCAGCAGGAGTCATAGTGCATGCACTGGCCTGGTCTCTGTCAGCCATGACATGGTCAACAGCCTCTCTAAGTGAGTTACATTCAGGGAAGCATGGAATTCAGCTTCCATCTGCAAGATAGAGATGGTTGTCTGTACCCCTTGTGATCTTACCAGCACAGATATAGACTTCAACGAGTGCACACATCCTCGTCCAGTGATTGGGGTCTGCACAGAAGCCACAGCTGTGTCTGCATTGCTGCATCTGGAAGTTGTATTCTTGTTTGACAACAGTACCAGCAGGTGGCACTTGTGGCATGTAGGTTGGCAAGGGAGGTGCAGCTGGTGAGGCCACAGTAGCCAATGTCAGTAGCATGCTATGGAGAGCAGATCCTGTCAGGAGGAACCTGGCAGCTTTGATGACTTCTGCAAGTGGGTATGGGTCATCTGGGTGGAGGTTGGTGCAGACTACAGAGAGTCAATGATGAATGCAACCTGCAATGGCCCTTGGGAAGCCATTCAGGAACATTGAGTCCCATTCTGTTTCTGCAAGCTTTTTAGTTTTAATGAGCAGAGCAGAGATCTTAGTGAATTTCTGCTGGTATTCTCTGAGGTCATCCTGGTTTCACATAGGTGTTAAAGGTGATGGCAGGGTTTCATGTCTTCAGGGAGTCAAGTGGATAAAGCCACTGGGAAAATCAGAGGCAGTGAGATCCAGGTGATCTGATGTGATGGATATCTGATCTACTGAAATATCAGGAGTGATTGTGGGTAGTACCCATGGGATGTCAGCAGATAATTGCATGTGATTCTGCACTTTGGGTGAAACTGGGCAGAATAAGTTGGAGTCTTCTGACAGGTTCAAGTTGCAGAAGTGAAGGGTAAGTTTTCTAGTTCAGTGCACTCAGCAGTGCACCTGAGTGACCTTCTGGAAGCAACAGCAGAATCCCTTGCAGTGGGCTCCAGTTGTAGGAAAAACCCAAGTAGCTGTATAATACAAGCTAGATGGCTTAGGTAACAACAATAGAATGAAGGGAATGAATTGTTTGTCCCAAGGGATTCTGGACTGTTGGAACTAGGAGGTGGGACTCAGCACCTGGTAGCAATAGTGTTGCATGGTGTGTGCAGCATGTTCTGCAGGGTAGTACTGGCAAAGTGAGCAATGTGAGCAGTATGCATAATTCATGCACAGTTGCTGTGAGGTGTGCAGTGTGGATGAAGTGAAAAGGAAACTTGTAGTGACCTTCCAAGTGCCAAAAGGTATCATTCTGTACCTAGGTACAGGGCTTTATAGTCTGGGCAAACCTGGAACCTAAGTAAGACAGAGTATGAGTAAGGGAAAGCCATGTGACAGTGTGTATATACAAGACAGGCTGGAACAGAGGCTGAGGGTATACTACAAGTGCTAAAGGAGCAGAGACAGTGGTAAAAGACAATCATCTTCCTCCTCAGTTGTGACTTCTTCATCTGACCACCCACCAGCCAGGCATTGCTTGCTACCATGTCCAACATGGAGTACAAAGCTGGCCTGAATGGTGAATATAGGAATGACCCTCATGGTCAAGATGCTTACCAGCTGCAGTGTTATGCTCGACCAAAGTCAAGACATAGGGAGAGCTCAAATGCAGACTATTGGTTTCTACTGAGCAACAGCTGCAGTGACCTTTGTAAATGACAAAGGATTTAATCAATGCCAGTAAGAGTGGTCTGGGTTAGGGACACTGAGGGCAAAGTTCTGAGAGAATGCTGCATATGATTGAGCAGCTCAAGTCTGGGTTTCCAGGACTTGAGCTGACAGACTAAATACTACACAAGAGACAGACCATGAGGCATCTGGATGTAATGAGGTAACTACACCATTGGTTGAGCAATGGTGACACATGTCCCAAGCATGCAATGAGCAAGTAATGCTAGTGGTGGGAATAGTGAGCTGTTGGATCAGAGAGAAGATGACTCAAAAGGAAAGATAGTCCATCAGATCAAACATGAAGTAAATGTAAAGCAAATGAGGAAAACAGGGGTGAAATGTAACATTACCCCCTTTCTAAGCATTGAAGTCCCTGACTTCAACTACTCTCCATAAGGTTCTCCAGTCATGTTGCTAATGGTGGAGTCATCAAAATCAAAGTTGTTGTCATATAGGTCATCATCCTCACTTCCAATGATGGTTCAATCATCCACTACCCCAGGGGTAACAATTCTTTCTTGTAGCAGACAGTGAGGGCATAAGGAAGGACATTGTGCCTGGGTATGGCCAGGACAAGTTGTGTGACAGAGCAGACATTCATAGAGTCTGCAGTTGATGCAGACATGCCCTAGACAGCAACAGACATAACACACTTGGCAATAGCATGGATCAGAAGGGGTAAGGGGATGATCAGCATCAGCAAGTGCATTTAGCACAGGTGATGGGGGTAACTGTGCAAGGGTCTTGACAATATTTAAGGTATAGTTGAGTTCTGCTCTGGAGATGCCAAAGGCAGTCTCAGGATCAACTTCAGAGGGAGAGTCATGGGACTCACAAGGTTGTGGATTGGGGCCTGACAAGCAGCAGGCATGAGGTCTATCTGCTCTTCTAAGGGAGCAAGATGAGTGGGAAGATGACAACAACAATGCTGGAGGAGAGGATGACATGGAAGAAACTGGAGGGGAGGTTGCAGTTGAGGGTCTTCTAGACCCAGGAGGGGGAGGAGTGACCAACATAGGGTATTGACGTATGTTGTAGATGAGGTCTGCCCCACCAAGAACATCTAAGAGTTGAAGGAGCAAAGGA